CTATAAAGTACCCCAAACGAAACCAGCTGGGAAAATGTACTTCCGACAACCCCAAGGACCGTGGTACGCAGTGTCTGCTGACCTGGTAGGCCCATTGCCTAGATCACAACGGGGTCAGCGATTTCTGCTCGTGGTGCAGGATACCTTCAGCAAATGGACGGAACTCGCCTCCATTGCGTCTGCAACCGCAAAGAATGTGGTGACGAAGCTGAAGGCTATCCTACTTCGACATGGAGCTCCGGATGTGTTGATTACGGACAACGGCACGCAGTTCGTCGGTAAACTGGTTCGAGAGTTGGCTGCTGAGTGGGGCATCACGCTACAGACGACGGCCCCCTACAGCCCACAGTCAAACCCAGTCGAGAGGCAGAACCGGGTGGTGAAGACTATGATTGCGCAGTTCGTGAAAGGCAACCATAGGTCTTGGGACAACCACCTGGTGGAGTTTCAGTACGCCCTCAACACAGCTGTCCACGACTCTACTGGATTCACTCCTGCGATGCTGTGTTTTGGACGCGAACTGAAGCCTCCCTGTGCCGTCCGTGGCCTTTCGTTTGAGGTGTCCGAAACTCCCCAAGGTCCCTCGTTAAGTGAGACCCATCGCAAACGACTGGAGGACTTTCAGCGTCTGATCGCGCAGACACGCAATAACCTCAAGGCCGCCTACGAAAGGCAATCAACATATTATAACCTCCGTCGCAGGGAGGTGACGCACGAAGTCGGCGCACAGGTGATGAGAAGACTCCACGTCCTGTCTTCTGCTGCTGACGCCATCGTAGGGAAATTAGCACCAAAATATCATGGCCCCTGCATTGTGGTCGGTCGTCGAGGTACTAATCTCTACGAGGTACGTGATGAGGATACCGCTGCAGTGCACGTCGTTCACGTGAAAGACTTGAAACCTTTCTGTGCACGTGACTAGTCTGCAAGGATCCCGCAACCGCAGCGACGTCTGGTGATCCGTTGTTCGTCAGTCCTTTCGGCCACGTCAAGCTGCCGACAAGCAGCCATAGCTAACCCTCGTCTGGGGGTGACGTATCCTCGTGAGTAGCTCTTCGCCCCGCTTCCAAGACTCCGAGCCTGCCGTACTACCCTACCTTTGTAAACCCCACGCCTACTCTTCACCTTTGGTTACTCTTCGCCCCGATTCGTTTTCGTCCAGACCTCTGAGGCAACTCGGCCTCAGACAGTCTACATCATTCCTAATTTCGCCCACTTTTCGTCGTCAACACCCTGGAGCAGCCGGACCAACGGGGTCCGGCATCGGCTTCTGTCAATTTTTCCTGCCCACGATCCTACTGATGTGTCATCTGCAGGAAAGTTCAACAGCTTTTTTCTTTTTCTCGGTTTTCTTTTTTTTTCGTCCCGAAGTGTGGAGGGGGTGTAACGAGTCAAATGGGTAGGGGGGTAAAAATATAACGATCTAGACCACGAACATTAAACAGCTAAACATTAGCTGTTGAGTAAGCCTAGTCGCGACACTAAACTGACGTCGTACCTAACCTCAAATTCCAAGACCGCAGACGACGTTGGTGTCAGTTTGGTTGTTTGGCTGTTCGACTGCGTCTGAGGCCGGGCTACGGGAGAGAAGATGAGCAGCGAGGTCACCTTTGAGCGGTACGCGGCTGTAAGCCTGTTAAAGCTACCATGCGCCTGCCTTTCGCTGCCAGTTTTTTTTTGTTTCGGTAACTCGTTGACCAATCAGGAATCGTTTTAACTTTCGTCTCGATTCGGAGACGAAGGTGAAGTAAGAAGAAGTTTTGTGAAGTTTTGGTCATTCGTAATCCCGGCTTTTCGTAAGTTTGTTTCGCTTTTGGTTGGTTCTCGAAAATTCGTGGAAGTAAAAGTGCGTATCGCAAGCTCTGAAAGCTTAAGTTCGTACGTATTGGTTCGTAGTGAATATTTTTCTATAATTTCGTCATCGGGTAAGTTTTGTAACTAACTTACAGATTATTGTATATTACTTGACCAGTTTTCGTGTACGAAACTTGGTTGAACTTGAAGGCTAGGCCTGATTCGCAGACCTAGTCATACGCCTTAACCAACAATTTGAGTAAAGTACTGCAGTTGGTGAAATATATTTTCAATTACGTTTCATAATCCATCTGGGACTTTCTTTTTAAATTCTTAAACCCCTTTATAAAGTTCCCGAACGCCCCGAAGTTGGCCCCGGCAGACAGGTTTCTGCTTGATAATTATTGCAGAAGTTTGCTTAAGTTGAACACGTGGGGAAGTTGAAGTTTTAGTTTTTCTTTTTTCGTATCAGCTCTTGAAGCAGTTTTATTTTGAGTTTCAGTTTTTCTCCCGTTTCGTGTCTCACTTGGACAACTTAAGCCAACTCGTTTTCTTGTCTAGTAAATTCAGACTCTGTGGGAGTTAGGCTAGGTTAGGCCTATCTTGTACTAACCTTGTTTGTTTCAGGGTGACGACGTAACTCCGTAGGTAAGCGGAGTGCCTACTTAGCTTACTTGTTGATTTGTTAAGTTAGCTAGTAGTGTGTCATTTAGATATTTGCCCACAGAGTCAAGTCAAAATTATTTATTTCCCCACAAGCCCGAGGCTAGAGTGGTGATTTCGAGTAGGGTGTTTAGTAACCCGCAACGTTCGTCTCGAGCTCTGACAACCAGGGCTATCAAAGTTAGGCTATCCGAATCACTATCGACTCCTGGGAAACTCCCCGCGACCAGACTAGGGCGAATCCTGGGATCTCGTTTTCTTACCGGTGGCGTAATTTCCCTCTTGTCGTCCGCCAGGAAAATTACGTCACACGTATTTACAGGGTGGGTCAAAACGTTTTTCAAAAGGACTTTGAAGTTAAGTGCCGTATTACCCGAACTACTGAACGGAACAGCGCCAAATTTCTTTCCAAGCTTATTCTTGATCTACTCTTTAAGATAACTTGTAATAAGGGCATTTTCCATGTTATCTTCTAATTTTTAAAAAATATCAAATTTTAAGAATAAAAGAAAGGTGAAAACTCAAAATTCTTAAATAGCAAGGTATGACAAATTTCATACCACGTGAAAGGTCCTTTTTTAACAAACATTTTACGTATTTAAGTTTTCTTTCTATCTCTTACCGTTTAAAAATTGCAGTAGAAAAACTGAATTTTCCATAGTAATATTGTAACTAGTTTTCTAATAAAACAGCCAAAATTCGTCTCTAGACACATTTAATGGTGCATTAACTGAAGGAAACAATTCATAATTATTGATACCCTGATTGACAAACAAGTCGTTACGTTTTAATTTGTGAAAAACAAGTCTTATAGCTGATGAGGACAACCTACATGTGGGCTGCTTTCTGTAGTACCATTGACTAGTCAACGGTAGTACTAATTTCAAAAAGTACTATTTTCTGTAGCATCTAATCGAATATGGTGTACACTTAAAAAAATAGACTTTATTTTTACTTATTGGGCAGAACAAAAGTGTTTCAGGATAACTGCAAAGTGTTTAACAATAAATATCCAGGTAAGACCTTAAGTAATAAAGCTGTAAATGATTTGGTTAAGAAATTTCTGAAACTGGCTCAGTTCCCAATGAGAAAAAAACAGGATGAAGGGTCCAAGATGAACTGACACAAGTAAAAGTAGTTGATCAATTTGTAATTAATCATAATACATCGTTGAGCAAAGTGCAATGTGTTTTGTTAGAAAACTAGTTATAATTTAACCATAGAAAATTCAGTTTTTCTACTGCAATTTTTAAACGGTAAGAGATAGAAAGAAAACTTAAATACGTAAAATGTTTGTTAAAAAAGGACCTTTCACGTGGTATGAAATTTGTTATACCTTGCTATTTAAGAATTTTGAGTTTTCACCTTTCTTTTATTCTTAAAATTTGATATTTTTTAAAAATTAGAAGATAACATGGAAAATGCCCTTATTACAAGTTATCTTAAAGAGTAGATCAAGAATAAGCTTGGAAAGAAATTTGGCGCTGTTCCGTTCAGTAGTTCGGGTAATACGGCACTTAACTTCAAAGTCCTTTTGAAAAACGTTTTGACCCACCCTGTAAATACGGTTAAAGATAATGACATTTTTATTGCACCAAAATAGTCGGGGTGATTAGACCTTTAAATTGATGTATCACACAACCCATGTTTACATTTGAAAATTTCTCAAAAAGCACCCCTACCCCCCAAATTGGGCCCTTTTGGGGCATTTTTCGAAATTGAAAATAATTTTATTGGATTTGGCATGTCCAAATTAGGGGGAAATGAGAACAAACAAGTGTTAAAAGCCTTACCTTTGCACACAACAGATATGGAAAGTTTTCAAATGAACACCCTGTATATATATATATATATATAAGTCTATATATATATATATATATACATATATAAAAATTTGAACGAATGGTGTTTTTGGCCTCTGGGGTCATCAAAATGAAAAAGTAAATCGGTCCCGGGTCTAGGTTTTACCGTGCCACCTACGGTAATAGCTACTTCCCTATAGGGAAATTCGCTAAAAGTAACATTACTCAAGTAACAATGAAGAGTTCCAGAATTTGAACCAAATGTTACAAAAGTGCAAGCAATACACCGAGTACTAATAATAGTTTATCCATATCAGCTAGAATCGCTCACATCTCTACGTAGATTTCATTGCAACAAACATTAAGAATATTGTGCAGCTATTGATATTGATTTTGAAGTTGAGTTACTTCCTTGTCATTATACCTATGAAATATTCAGAAACCAAGAGACATTATACTATTGGAATTCCCAACTAGAATTTTTAGCTGGACAGCAAAGTAACTTCATGATTAATGACCACTCTAGAATCACTTGCTTCAAGTGAATCACTTGCTTCACTTGCATTCACTTGCTTCTGAAGCTCCCTTGTGGTACCGAAATATAAAATCAATTGTTGTGACCTTTTAGTTTGCTGCCAACTGTCAGGATCTTCTTTCTTGGGTTGTAATTTTTGTGTAAAATGTTTTTTCCTCAAAGTACCTACAAAATTTGAAGAAAACTTATAACAAAATATTTTGCAGAACTGCAGTGTCGCCCGTCCGGCCGAGGAGGCTTTGCTGACAGTTCCGGCTCACTACGACAATTTGTGGCCCCTCAAGCAGCAACTGCTCCAGCATTAGAAAGCTTACTCCGCAACACGTAGCATGTAATAGCCGTTGTATCACTAACCAGTCAATGTTCAGTATTTATGTGTTTTAATCGGCCTCGACTGAATTACATGTAGCTTTACAAGCACAGTTAATTTAAAATAAAATTTGTATCACAAACTCATTCTCAGTATTTAGCATGTAAGTCTCAGAAAAAAAGGTATGTTGTACATTATTCGCAGTGGAAAAATAATTGTTAAATTTAATGGAGTATGAATGTAAGTTTTGAATGGGCTACTTACAAAATAAATACCAATTAATAAGAATTTTTTTTATCTTGTATTTAGGTTATAAGCAGGACAGGAGGACACTCTTTGTATAAAATGGCCAAACTCAATATATGTCCAAAGATGTATACCAATATGATGTATTAAATGGCATTTACTTTGATAAATGGTTTTTACACCAAAATACAGGATGCTTTGAATCCAAACAAATCATGGATGGTTAAAAGTTGATTCTTGAGGGCTTGGAAATAGGAAAATCATTTTGTACAACATATCACTTCGACTAAATGTCTTTATGAATCTATTATTTTAATACTTATGTTATATTTTGCAAGTTGATGGTAGTTTTAACAATTAATTAGTGTTATACATTGTGTAGGCAATTAGGAAAAGTGGTATTTTTAGAAAACGTATTGTGTAAGGAGTAGCTAGCTTTAGGAGTGCTGTAGTTTTAAGAAGTGACAGTGCATTGGGACGTTCTTTGAAACGCTGTGATTTATTTAGTGGAAAAGTCAGTTAAGTACAATATTTTTATACTATTACCTTATTTTCAGTTGTATTACAATGTTTTTGTACATATTTACATTTATTTGTTTTATGTCCGTAAAATTTGTTTCTGTAATGGTATAGATGTAAATAAAATATAACTTTAATTTTAATTGAGTTTAGTTTTCACCCAATTAAGTATAATGATATTTGAAAAATGATACCAAACAATTTTTATTGTGTCCTATTTTTGTGTGTGTATTCAATTCATTGATTACATCAAAAATAAAGCAATGGGTGCTGTAGGACTAGAATGAACTGTACTGATAATTTTATGTCAAAAGAAAATTTAAGCCAGTCTCCTGTAAAATAAATGGGAATCCTTTAAGGAGAGGACATTTTATCTTAAAAATCAATTTTACTTAAACCTCGAGGTTATTAAAAAGTGGATGACCCATCCTCTACACTAGGGGCCACGAGAGTTTATGCAGTTGGTGGCAGCCAATAGCGAGACTGAAGTTGCAACATCGCCCGTCCACAAATTTTTTCACTAAATAAAATATACTAAGCAATATTTTCAAATCAGCTGGTATTATTAGATTTGGCAACACTGCGGGGTCATCATTGGCTCCTTCGAAGTCAGGTGGTAAATAGGCTCCTCCCTCAACTGCAGACTATCGTGGAACATACTGTAGCCATGCTACTATCTATATGATTAACCTTTTGTTATAAAGCACCATTAATTCCCAGCCCAGTGAAAATTGCAATTATGTCCAGAATTGACCCTTCACAACATGAAACGACAATCCTTAGAATTGAAGTCGACCTCAATATCCACACTAATCCAACTAATCTGGTAATATTTTACAAAAAAATTCAACTCAATATCAAAGTGATGCTTCAGAAATGTTGTAGACATTTTCACTCACGATTAGAAAAAGTTTTAGACAACGTTTCAAAGCTCTAAGTTTTAATTTCATAGTGATATTTTTCGCCTAAATTTACCCGTACTCCTCATTGAGTGTTTAAGGGTTTATCTGGGTTTTAAAAACTGTTAATGTCATCAGATTACCAAAAAAACAGATTTTCATGGCTATAAAATATTTATTTATAAATAATAAATCTTAAACTTGTTTCGGTAAAAATGAATCTGCTATCTCTAGATTGAGTGACTCAGTAACCATTGGGTGCAAGACTTTTTAAATCTAAAAGTCGTAAACTCGTTAATGTTCAATCGTTAACTTTTAAACTTTATAACAGGACGAGGCAGTGAGAGCACCCCGACTTTCTTTTGTTGTCACACTATAAGTAAAGCAACAATGAATGAACAGCTGTGCTTATAACATCAATTAAACTATGCCATTTTAGTAAAAAATATGCCTAAGACTATTGAGATTTTGATGTGGAAAACTATTTTACCTACGACCGTTTTTTAAAGTAGCCATTTCAGTCCAGTTCTTAGAATTGAAAATTTTCACTTTACAGATGTTTACTTTCATATCAGCATAGTTTCATTTCATATCAGCATAGTTTTTTTTCATATCCACACAGGTAACGGACCAATGAGGTTCAAGTATTGAGAGAAAAGAATTAAAATTGTAATGCTTCGAACGTCAACTAATCAGCTGATCAGCTGATCAGTTGACCAATTTAATTGTTGATCCGACTTGTTCATGTTGATACTCGCGTATTCTTAATTAAGTTGGTGGAAGTCCAAAAATAAATGAAATATTTGCCGAATTGTACCTGATACAATATTATTTACTAGGGGAAACCCGTCGAAATCGACGGTTACTCTTGAGGTTTTATGTAACTTCAGCTAACTGCGATGATAGAGTGACAATATTATTAATCCAGTCTGACTGGGTTACTGTGTAACCCTATTTCACCATAATATGTGACCATGTCTATTGCAAGATTGTTTTGCTTAAGGACAATAAAGGATTTCTGATTTCTGATTTTCTGACTGGGGCAATATAATCTCTCTACGGAATGTTAGGTGTAGTAGAATATACTTGAAGTGAAGTTGACTTTTATTCTTGAACTGTTAGGGGCCTCCTCATTTATATGGTAGTGCAGCTTCATTGGCAACAAATAATGCGAATGACATACTAAGAGCACAATAAAATTCTTCTGCAGATGAATTTTCTGTTGGAGAAATATAAGCCGAATTATAAATGTCACAATGCGAGTTTGAGCATTTTGTAACTATATTATAATATGGGTAAGTTACATAGATTTTTTAGGTTGCTGCTCAATGCACTTTAAGAATATATATTTTAGAGATAAATTAAATGGTTTTTGTTGCTGAGTAGCGCCAGTAAACATGCACAACCCTTTTCGTTAGTCGAATAACATTCAAAGGCTCTCTATGAGTTCAAGTTCTTATTTGTATATACATATCTATGTATTCACTAAGCTTAATGGATACATCGAAGTAACCTCTCTGAAAAGTCTGCAGTATATTGCAGTTTTCCAGCTTAATGACTTTCTAAATCATGCACAAATTTCTACATAAATATTGTAAAATGTTTTATCCAGTTGCTGTAAACCACTATTAATTTAACAAAATATGGATACGGCTCAAATGGGCACCGTGCCCTTCTGCACTTGTATTATTTTGTATTGTTTTACACAAGCGAAGATTTTTCCAATGATTGAAAGCATGTATGACAATAATCTCATGAACCTATGATGATCTGTCTAGAATAATATGATAAAATATAGGGAAAAGGTGTGAAAAAGGTGTGAAAAAGGCAGACACCAACCCGTAAAATAGATATAGGCCTAAGATAGTTCAATAAGAAACAATTGTAGGAGTTATTGTGATAAAAGGATTTTCCACTGATTTCGTAATGGAACTTTATGTTGCAACACAAATGATACAGAGGAAAATCAATTTTAAAATCAGAAAATAACATTGCAAATACTTCTTTTGGACAATTCAGTAACTCCTAATAAATGTGTGTTGTTTAAAACACAATTTTAAAATTAACAGCTGTTTTATTAAAAAGTATTATCCACATGACCAAAATGTAAACAAATCTGTGGAGGGATTTTTAAAGGCGTCTGGGGCAGAGCCCTAAGCGAATTTACTTCGTTTTTCTTTTGATAACTCATCTACAGACCAAGACCGTTCTTTGGACACCTCTACCAAGTTTCTACGCCCAGCCGTTCTCTCAAATTAGTGGAGACAAAGTTTCCAATTAAATATTTAGATTCCCCCATGTTAATATTATGTGAGAAAACCCAACTTTGATGGAAGATCCTGACCAAACTAATAAAGATATCAAAAAACGAAAAATACTTTGCAAAACTACAGATCAGAGCGATTTTTTTGACACTTTAACCATCAAAATCGGCCCAAAAATGAGCGAGGAGTTCTGTTCACAAAAATCGGCTTAGCGTATTATATATATAGATGGTAAGAATGCTGCTAGCAATGTAATATTTAACGAAGTTTAACAAACAAGTAATTACAGGAAATCAGCTGATTATACAACAAGTCGTTGCATCACTTTCAGTGGCAATGACAATACACGAAAACATAACCTCTCTAAAAAGTTATAAGTAGTGATTGTTAGTAATTAAATCCAGATTGATAGTAATTAAAAAACGGTCATAGGTAAAGTAGTATACGCAACTCGCGTTAATAGTCTTTACGACACTCGTAGAAGTTTTTAAGGCACTCGCCAAGGCTCGTGCCTTAAATTTTCTACTCGTGTCGTAAAGACTCACTTAACGCAATCGTTGCGTAAACTACTATTTTTAAATAGTGATTCTTGTGCAAAACCCCAGAGATTGTTTGGACCGCATTCCATCCTTGGTCAACATGGCGCTGTTCCAGATTGGAAAAAAATGGGGAACTTGGTTAATTATTTAGGATAACAGCTTCAACCTAAAAAATAATCAGTGGGTGCCGCGAAACTCTGTACACCAGCAAATGTTGAAAGAGTGTGAGTCGCAGTAACTCGAAGTCCAAAGAGTTTTGCCAGGAAGCTGTTTTTTTTTGGGGGGGGGGAGGGGGGTGTTGGTCTCATAAGCTACTTGAAGTTCAATGTTTTTCAGTCGTCCCACAGATTTGTTTGAACCTAAGCTAAGAATTGTCCAAAAACTAAAGTGATTCCTGAAGAAATGCTGGCGGAGTATTTGATGGAATTTTCAAGTGACTAAAAAGAAATGCCAAGTAGGACAAGGACGTCACTTGCAGGATTTTGTTTCCAAGAAATGGAAAAATGACTTTGTTAAGTTAAAATGGCTAAAGATAAGCTGCGTTTTGATGTGCTATTTATATCTACGGGGTGAATCTATATATTAATTTGAAACTGTTTTTCTTTGTGACAGCTAATTTGAGAGAACGGCTGGGCGTAGAAACTCGGTAGAGGTGTCTAAAGAAAGGTCTTGGTCTGTAGATGAGCCATCAAAAGAGAAACGTGGAGAATTCCCTTGGGCCTCTGCCCCAGTGGCCTTTGAATTCACATCCCATGTTATTCTTATGGAGGAAAACGGGGGTTTTGTCACAGCTAATTTGAGAGAACGGCTGGGCGTAGAAACTTGGTAGGGGTCTCTAATGAAAGGTCTTGGTCTGTAGATGAGCCGTCAAAAGAGGAACGAGGTAAATTCCCTTGGGGCTCTGCCCCAGAAGCCTTTAAAGTTGCCTCTTCAGATTTGTTTACATTACGACCATATGGATAATTTTACACTATTTTAATGAACCAGCTGTTAATATTAAAATTGTATTCAAAGGTTTACTGAAACTGTCAAAATTAAATGTTTACATTATTATTTATGATTTTAAATTGATTCTCCACTGCATGGCAAGTTTTTTATAGTTTCAACAAAATGATGAATTTATGATACGTTTTAAATGTGTTGTTAAAAAATCTATGCTTTATTGCTCTTAAAAAATTTGAAATTATGAAATTAGTGCGACATATCAGTTTCAAAGGAACATATAATTATTCCTTATCGGGTTAGCTTATACATATTGTAAGGTTCAAGAATATTATTGAATTCAAGAAAGACGACCAGAAATTCATTTATTGGTATAAAAGTTCTCGATAATCGGGTTGAAAATTGTGTCATAGATGAGGAGAATGAGAGCTGTGTTCAAGTTTTGAAATAGACTAACTACGGAGTATGTTTCATCTATGGTTTTGGTGAAGTAGGTAAATTAATGTCAATTCAGGTATTTAAAAAAAATGTGTACAGGGTTTTTACTTTGATGTACACATCTAGCTATGCATAATTTGTTACCAAGGCTGGATTAGGTTATGGATTTGGTTCCGCAAATGTTCAAGATTTGTGGTCAAATTTCCTACAATTATGGTTTATTCCATCCACGAAATACATGCACAGCTTTATGTGATTGATATGGCCATTGCAAAACTACCCCATAAGTTAATCAATTAGCAAGTAGGCCTAAGTACAGATTGATTAAATACATGGGTCGATGTGGCAAGAGAAGGAATTAAAATTGCTTGGATCGAAGTAAGAATGTTACCGCTTTCTGGAGAATTAGATATTTTTATCAAATACAAAAAAGATTTAATATGCCTCCCGCTCATAAAACTCTGTATTTTTATGACCAAAGATGGTGATTCACTTATACAATCCAAATTCAATATGAATGATTTTCCCAAAGCAGATAGAACCTGTTATTTTAGTAATATTGACTCTTTCCCTCAGATGACAGACCAATTATCTGAACTCCTTTCCCCATACAGTGAAAGAGGCTTTAACATGAACAAAATGCATGAACAAGAAACAATTGTAAGACTCCTGAAAAGCCTTTTGGGCAACCTAAAGCCGATGAAAGAACAAAAAAATATTGAATTCAACGAATTCATCAACCACGTTTTTAAGGTACACTATCGTCTTACTCATACCGGTAATTATGTTTATCCTCCCTAAGATTTTAATAACTTCACTCTATCCATCGCAGTTAGCTGAATTTACGTAAAACCTCAAGAGTAACCGTCGATTTCGACGGGATTCACCTAGTATTGTTGAATTTGTACTATTTATAAATTGGGGTGCTTTCATAGCCTCACCCTGTACAAAGGAGTGAAATCGACATGTACTAATGTAAAAAATGCTAAGGAGTGCTACCACAGCAACCAAGCAAGGAATATTTGCGATGATTTAACCCATTTTGGGTATTGTATTTGGGTATTTGTCTATTGTCTATTTTAATGAGTAAAAAATAATTTGGTGAAAAATTTCTCCATGAAAAAATAATTCCATAGAAAAAGTCAACAGGTTAAACGTCAAAATAAAATAGACCAGCAGCTGCCACTCACTAGGACTAATTATAACCAACTAACTGTGAAACCTAAACAACTGCCAGGTCACTTTTACCTCAAACAAATTAGGTCTTACTTGTTAGACTAAAATAGACTCGTTTCAAAGGGTCATCGTTTCTAATAAATGGAAACTTACTATTTACCACAAATTGTGTTAGTTTTAGCTGGAATTAGTTAAACTTTTGCTCTAAAAATTTGTACAATTTCAGTAATTAGAAGCATTTTATACATTTGAGACTTTTTGTACGTTTATTCACACTACTAACTACTACTACTATCTAACGTCCATCTTTTGTTAGATGGAATCATAGGTAGCTCAATGACAAATAACATCTGGGTCTAGTAACGATCTCACTTGGAATTGAACCAGCGACCTTCAGAAATTCACTCGGCTACGCAGACAATTTATTGTGAAAAGTGGTTGATACAAAAAACAAACTGTTGAATTTTACAACAAATTTATTTCATATTTACACAGAATATAAAGCTAATGTGACTAAAAAAAACTATTAATACTATATTATGTACAATTTAATATTTTACAAGATGTATAATGCATGAGTGTTAATGTTATGCATCAACAAGCAATGAACTAAAACTTTGAACATGCAGTGTACTTTAGTAACTACATTGTGGATAATTAGTAGTAATAAAGTAGTGATTATAATTAACTGATAATTATTTGCTGGATTTTATAAATTTTCTTTGCATTAAAAGTTCAAAAAGAAAACTCATTTCTCAATACCGTATTCAAAAACCAAGAGAACAAATTTAATCATTTTATTTGTAATAAAAGAAACACACATATTGCGTACTATACATTGTTTCTGATAAATAAAAAATCTGTAAAAAATACCAGTTAACAATAAGGCACAACAGTAGGTAACACAACTTTTTCTTCTTTAATGTGTTTTTCGAAAAACAATTTGGTATTTTTTTATGAAAGGGTGACTTACAAAGTTAAGTATGCTGTATGTAGGTATGTATAATACATAAAGTATTGTAAAAGTTAGTCACATATTATGAATAAAATTAAAATGATATTCCCAGCTATGATTTGGAACGAAATTGAAAAAAAAAACACATCTAATGATAGCACAGAAATATTCCAAACACTGACAAAATGTTTAGTTTTGCCCTTGCAGGATTGACTTAAATTACTAAATATTAAAATTAATAGACTATAGTCTCTATTGAAAAATAACAATTAAAGGTGCCCATAACTATCAAACTATCAGCTTCTGTCAAAGTACATTAAACTATTACCTTTCATTACTACACCATACAGAATCATAAGAAGAATCTATCATACATTGCAGGAAAAGATCTTACCATAAGGTATGACATGGAAAATAACTAAAGAACAATGCAAATAAATGTCCTAACGGCCATTTACATATGTAATGTACATTGGGAAAGTCTTAATGTCCATTTGGTCTGCAGAAGAGATTATCAGCATTTATTTTAGAACAAATTAAGTGACTAGAATCAGAAACATTTCACATTTATGGTAACTTAACATAAAAAAGTAGGCACCGCTTCAGTAATTTAGTATACTAAAATATTCTAACAACATTGATTTTGGAAAGTTTAAAATTAGATCAATTTTTTCATTGCTTACGCTGAACAATTTGTGTTAAATTTAGAACCAAAGTATGATTCTAGTAAGCTTTTAACATTCTTCTCGTAGCAAATTTTGAAGTTAATTTCATCTAAGATAAGTGAGTTGTTGTTTATTTGTTTTTGAAACGATTACATCCGCAACACAAACATAAAGGGCAGCCCAAATGTTTTCTATTAATTTCTCAAATGTACTTAAAATATGCCAAGTGATGAAATTCTGCAAAATACCTAAACTTAAATAACTGAGATCACTGAAAACCATCAATTAGTTATAACAATCAATACTGTAACTATAATCCCAACTTTTGTTATGTTTGAATCCTCAGAGAAAAACAATTTTGTAGTGTAGTAAAGTGATCCAACAAATTGGTATTGCACTACGACTTAAAGATTTAAACTACCTATTTTATCACAGATTTAACTAAAGAAGTAAATAGAATCCAAGACATTTTCCAGGACAAAAGTTCCTTTCTGAGGCACCTGAGCTAAAACATCATGAAGTTTCTGCTTGGTCTGCGATGATGGGTTGTTTGGTTCATTTCTCTCTCTAAAACATAAAAAAACTGTCACTAATTTGATCAAGCTTCTCTCATTTTTTGTAAGCGATTGCTATGTTCTTTTATTAAACCGTAAACCATATAGAATAAATTGAAGGAATAGAAATGATGACAGATTAAGGAGGAATTGGAGCAAACAGTTAGAAGATTAAATTATAAAATTTCTTTTTATAATTTCAGTGATGAAAAATTGTTTATGTAAATGTCTCCAAATTACTGTTAAGTATCTGAAGGTAAATTATTTTACTTTATGTCACATTGCTAAGGTTTTAGTCCTTATCAAAGTTTCTAAGATCTACTTAAGGTTTGGTTGACAAGAAAGGAAAGGGAAAATACAGGACACAGAAAGGAAAGGACAATGAAAAAAAAAAACACAGGCAAATTCTGTTGCTACGGCTACACTTCACGGGACTTAGATAAGAAATTGCTAGGAACAATTATTTTCTGGATTTTGCGCGTGCAAGAAGTCGAACAATTCCTGACCAACCGCACATAGCATTTAACCAGAAAATTCCTGTTCAAAGTTAGCATAGAATTTTTTTACCTTTGTAGTCCAAGTGTCTCTAGCTAAAAGCTAGACAGAAAGGACATGATACAGGGTAAAATTTAACGCTACGGAAATAAAATGAGGATTCAATGTTCTTTAAAGGATTCACCAGATTCTGTTAGTATTTTGGTGTAACAAGTCCTTCCGTCGTGTGTTGTGTCCTGTTTAGTGTTTCACCTTCAATTTGATAAGACAAAAAGGATTCTCCAAAAACTATAAAATTATTTTTCTTTCTGTGTCCCTTTCCTGTGTAGTGTATCCCGAGCTTCGTATATTGTGTAACTTTGGTGCGTCAATGGGACAATAAGCTGTATGTTAGAACTATGACAATGATGTCTTGGATTCACATTACAGTGTTACCACTAGCTTTTATAAGTTTACTAGTTTCTGAGTGAAAAAGCTCTGCATTTGTCATCTGCTACCTTTCACACAAAGGCCCTGGAATCTTAATGGATGGGCTGATGCAAGATCAAGAGAGGACACCCATATCTTTGAAGCAATCTAAAAAATCAGTCTCCTTATCTTTAAACTTAACACAAGGCACATTTTCAACAATCTAGTAAGATATTACAAAGCTGTTTACCTTTGGTCATAGCCATACTTGTTGAGCATAAACTCGGAGAGTTCTTCCAGTATCGGCTCGGAATGAAGAGCGACAAACTGTTCCCGACATATCTATTGGATAAGGGAATATCTATTAAATGTAGAACTTAAAAAAAATAGGTGAGTTTTAAACCTAACACCATTTTAAAATTACTAAACGATTTAAAATAATGTTAAGTTTTTAAAGTGTAAGTTTTGCAAAAAGATAATGGATACTTAAATGTTAGTACGCTGAGGACATTTTTAACATTTAGGTCCGAATCCTGAATGGTCTAATAGTTCTAGTTTTATAAACCTGCTGTCTTACGTCAAACCTTTTTAGATAGCATCAACAATGGTTAGGCCAGTGTAGAACTAATGAATAGTTGCACAACACATGATAAATATAACTACTATTTTTGGTTGGGTTAAAATTTACTATAGAAGTACAGCGCATAATGTTTTTGAAGGAATAAATTAGAACCATCAATCATTGTTGATAAAGCCGATACTGTTATTTTGATGGCGTATTACCCTATTCATCACGTTGACAGTGCTTGCGTGTGTCCAGTAGCAGTCGTGGACGGAGACGAACGTTATCCCTCTCTGCTCACTGAATATTGACGTCAGCATCATATGACAGGAGTCCAGCGAGTGGATGAAGTTGGGTGGAAAAGCATTCTTTTGTTTCATCACGTTTGGACGTCTGAAAATATGGAATATATAAATGGAGCTTTGTAAAGGTTTACTACGGCAATACTTCTAGCAAGTTTATGATCAAATCAAAATCAAATATTTATTGACACAAAAATAAACATTACATAAAATTCTTACAGCAACTGGTGTCTTATAATTTTTTTTTTTTTTTTAAGAGGTTGGAGGCCTCTTTTAACCTTGCATTTGCCCATCCACATAGACTAACTGCCCGTGCGTGGATCGTATCCAGCAAAGCAAGGGGTGAGCCGGTACAGTAAAAGGTGAACTGTACTAATACAGCTGTTTGACGCTGTTTGCGGCAGTGACCAGGATCCGAACCACGACATTGCTGCTTTGGGCTTTGAAATCCGTGACGCTACCGACTGAGCCACCGATTCACCCATTTCCATTAAAGGAAACCAGCGGATCAAACGTGCGGGATCAAAATCCATGCTACTACCAGCCAACGAGGTGTCAGATACTTCGGCATCAGGAATAAGACAGGGATCTCCATCGTCTTCGTCACTAACTCTGACACTGTCTAGGCACCCCACTTGGCCAGAACAGTCTTAACCCATGCCCATTCTTATCACCTTTATCCCAATCGTCACCAATCCGAGGTCTTGGATAACATCCATACCCAGAAACATATCCGTGGTGAGAGTGGGAACGTACAAGGGGTCTCTATCCACCGTCTTCCCGCAGCTTCTCCTGCTAACCGGAACGAACACTTGACCCTCGACCGTGTCCCATCTGCCATCCTCAGAGGAGCGGGTTTCTTAAAAGGCTCTACCCCCTGACGTTGAAGATGGTCGGCGACTCCTCGCCCAACCAAGCTAGCGACGGACCCAGTGTCCAGTAATGCCTTAATGCTGCCCATCAGCACAACTTCAACAAAGGGCCTTGACTCCGAAATCAGCCGTTCTCCATCTACTTTACCAACCAAGCTGTTTAGTTTTCCGAGCCACTTGGACCACTCTTACGAGGTGGTTCGTTTTGGGTGGCCTTTCCCAGTTGACCTCCTGATGTCTGAGCTGGCCTGCCGTATCCCGGTTGACATCCCCAATGGTTCACTGTCAAACCGGGTTTGCCACATCCATAACAGGAGACGGTCCTTGGCTTAACCCATTCTCGGACAAAGTGACCAGTCACCTAAAATATTTTGCCTTCCCTTTGGACCGTCAGACATATATGCTGTCGCGGGCTGTTGATCACGGACCCGAGTCAACTTCAAAGCTACCCGCCGCCTAAGCAAATCGGCTTCCGGAGATGGTCTCTCGAAAATCCGCTTTTCGACCACAGCAGTTTCAGAGTGATTCTCCACCTTCTATTTACCCACCTAGGCGGCTGCCAAAACCAGCGCTACGTTGGGTAAAGGTGGAGGTCGGAAGGCTGCCTTCTCTCGCAAAACTAGCCTGACTACTAAAACTAGTCTGATTGCTGATTAATATCAGATAAACTGTGTATTGCCAACTTATTTTACCGTTACAAGAATTAAATTGTTGAACAAGCAACAATTTCTTATATTCAGATTACTTTTTGAACAGATTTTTTTTTTTTTTTTAAAGATAAATTTTTTATTTTAACCTCATATAACGTTGAAAAATATGCATTCTAAATATTCGAAATATGTTTGAATTGAAAAGCCAAAATACTCACTCAAACATGTCGATAGGAAAGTATTCCTGCAGATGTCCAAACTTGTTGACACCCATGTCATGTATCTTAGTGTGTCTAGTGTAGTATTGCACTACAGGCAGTCCTAGAGGTGTTACATACTCCATGTTCTGACCACAGATCTGGGAAACTAGCCTGGCACACTCTGTGAACCAGTCCTGTAACATCATATCATATTACTAATACAGTAGCATCTGTAAAATAGCATCACTGAGAAACTAGTCTGGCACACTCTGTAAACAAACCAACAAAATCAAATTGCTGATTGACAAACTAGTGTTGAAGAACATCAGACTAAATTAAAGCCTTCCTGAGATTTCTGATCGAATTTATTTGTCAATACTCATCTTTAAAATATTTTTAGGACTGTACAAACACTCCACAAACAGAATAAATAAAAAAATTAAAATTGTTATAAAAAATGATTACCTGCAAGTTTCTCAGCTTCTGTAAATGAGTTATAGGTATTGAGTTGTTTTTCAGGTGATATAAGTTTAAAAACTGTTCATATTACATATTTACCTGTATTTCCCTCGTAGAATTGAACATTTCCCTGAGACTTTCAAACGTCTTGATGACTAAGTAAGTAGAAGCAGGCCACACAAAGGCCTTGGGAAATGATTCAATATCTGAAATTTAAAGTCAAACATGAAATAGGAAAGTAATTTAGTTCAAAACTATTTCATATTAACTCATATGTCATTTTCATTATGTTTGGACAATTTTATATTTTACAATTCCAAAAATACTTAATCATATTTTATGTTTTTAGGAAAAAGCATTTAGCTTGGATTGAATAAATATATAGGATGGAGAGGACACAACTAACTCACCTGATGAAAGGTTGCAGACGAGTCAAAGAACACATAAAACACACACATAATAATACTTGATATTTCGCCTCTTTCAGAGGCTTCTTCAGAAGTAGGCCTAGATGGTAGTTACAAGAACAACAGTTTAAAATAGGATGACACAGTTTGAATTCAAAATGTCTGACAGGTTGTCCAACTAACACTGCACAAAGCACTAAATACAGGCACATTGCAATATTGTATTTACATATATAATATGTATATTGAAAAGCAAATTAGTTTTGTCCATGAAAATAAATACTTAAGAGTTAGCTGTGAGGGTGAGGATATAAGGATATTATCTAATGTTGAGGTTAGGTGGGCTTCTGGAGTTGGTCACAAACTGGTAAGCTAATTCCCATCTTCTGAGCATTGAACTATTGCATTGGTTCTTTGGCAATGATTTTAGAGCTTTTATGGTGAAACAGTCATCAAATAGAAGTTTGTGGGATAAGGCATGTTGTGCAACTGGTTTTTCTTTGCTAGTTTTAACATCATGTCGATGGCTGTTCGGGTACCTTACTGGCTAAATCTTCGTTTTTATTTATTAGAAAGCTTGAAAATTTACCTGTCTGTGTATTAAGTTTGTAATAATTGTAACAGATGTTATGTGCAATAAACAATTGTCATTTGTCATTGGTAATTTGGCAGGATTTAAACCCGAAACCTCAGGAACTGAAGTCCCCCGCTCTTAACACTAGACCAGCTCGCTCCCCACTTAGCCTAAATATGCTCATGTAGTAAATAAATTATTTAAATACTTCTATAACTCTTTTAAACGTTTCCATAAATTGATTTCTTATACACTTCTACAATTCTTCATCCTCCAAAGAATATTTTTATGGGTTGCAACAAAAAAACTAGGACAATCCCGGTTTTCCGGGACGTTTGGTCACACTAGTCGTGGACAATGACTAGTGGTTGATAAAACACACACACCTCAATGTGATCCTGTCCAAACAATGATGGGAACTGAAACGGTATGAGTGACTGATGAAAACAATACCAAGAGTGTCCAAGAACTACCTTCAACCTATACAGCCTCTCCTGAGTACTATGAGAGTCCTTACTCACAGGGGCTTAGTCCTTACTCTGCCACACCCTGTATGTTTGAGTTTTGATATAAGGGAAAAAATGAGCAAAATGTGAAGTAATACCTTTAAGTTGCTTAGCGATTTGAAGTCTTGCTCCAAAACGAGTTACTCCGTAAACCGTTGTCATAACAGTTTGTTTGATGACTTTCCGACGGACGAAACCATCCAACTCCTTGGCCACAACTACCCCTGCTGCAGCGTCCTTCGCTCTCTCCCGCTCTACCTGTGTGGTAAAGACTATATATTGAAATGCTATATACTTTATCTTTTATACGGAAGCTCTACGGGATTACACATGATCTGTATTATTCCATATGCCTGTATTATCTTGATGATAAGTCAAGTGTAATTTGTTTTCAAAAGTTTAACTACCCTAAACTGTTTTGACTATTTTTGACTATGTAGGCTAGGCTATCTGGACAAAATCAAGGTGTGACTGAATTTCAGGTGAGACAACTACTACGTATCTTAAAATCTAATTTTGTCTCGCTACCCGAAATTTCGTCATACATATATGAAATAACTATCCTAACCTGACCTAAGCAAATTTGCGTTCAAAGGAGTTTGAGGCAGCCAACGGATTACCAGATGAGTAAATGACAAAAACAAATTACTAATCCGAAGCTTTCTGGTAGTTATCTTATTGTGTTACTGGGACCGCAGCTGTGACTAGCAGCAACAAGTTATACAAGGGACCAAACAGAAAGTAAAAAAACCCTGGTGTGACATTTCTGCTTGCAGATGAGTGTTGAGATGTCTGGACAAAGGTATTTTGTAAACGGCAATTAAAGTCCTAGTTACCAAGGCAGCTACGCAGCCGTACACGTCCTGAGGTAGCTCCTGAGGCATGAGGTTGACACTGCAGGCGCCAGCCTCGTCCCGGCCCAGGGCTGCGTAGTGCTGCAGACCATTGCAGCTGCCGTCCTGGTGTACAGGGAAGTGACTGACGTAATGCTGCGGACCTTCTGGGTGACGCACGGCCGCAGCGATGTCTAAACAACTAGCGAGAGTTTGCCACGGACATTCTGACTCCATCCACCACTTGCTGCCCTGCACACACACAAAACAAACACTGGAGATGGTAACTGTTAGTAACAGTAAGTACAATAAGAAAGGAATTATTCTCATTCTTTGGACGGTATTGAAATCTCAAATAACCAGAAAATAGAAATAAGAATGTACATAGAATCAATGAAAAAACTGTGGAACAATTAAACTAATCTCGGATGGATTAAAGAAATAAAAGAAAATATGCCTACAAAGAGGGAAAAACTAAAAAAAGCATAACTGTGACCACCAAACAAGTTATTAATTTCTAGGGGGAAATTTGACATTAACACATATAAAACTGTCTTGTAAAACATATAAAACGAAAGTTGGTTACATAATCATTGAAATAACTTTACACAAGTTATAAGAAAATGTCTAAAATAAACTTTAAAAAATGGTATAATATACAATCACAGCTACAAAGAACATTCACTTTAGGCAGATTAACTACTTGCTAGTATACTCGAGAACAAAATTGCAAAAGATTATCTATTGAATAAAAAACACTACTGTATTAAAAATACAATTATCACATTACAAGAGATAATACACAACTTACAGTCAAAGGTTTGTCGGCCGAGTCTAGTATTTCTGGCATCAGAGTTTCTGCGTATTCCAGTCTAGCCTGGATTGACTCTCGCTTTTTGGTCCCAAGAAGGTTTACTAGGTGAATCTAAAACAAAGGTATTCTTTATTTAGCCTCAAGACATATTACATACCTACACTTGTTCAAGAATGTGAATGGATATAATTTTGCTAGAGGTGCTGATAGTGATTTACTCAACGATCACGTAAAGATAGTTTTTAAGACAAAGTAGAAATCGACGAGTGTATTTACGATTAAACCTTTCAATAAACCTTTCTGCAACTGTTAGTTACCAAATCGTTTAGTTCACCTTCGACAAATGAACATGAATTGTTCGTTAAGCAGATAAGTTGGTGTTTCAAGCATTGCAATTTTACTTTTTTCTCTGAATCCTTGAACCCCATTGGTCTATTACTTTACCACAAGAGTGCAGTAAAAGTAAATATTGTGGTTAAGTGAATTTTTTTTTTCAATTCTAAAAACTGAAAAGGCTTGTTTGTAAAACGGTATCAGGTAAAATATATTTACAGCCTAATTTTGTTATGTTGTGCATGGTAAACTGTGTCAATTCACATTTAGCAGTAAATACTAATAATAACCAAATATGCCTTAAGATGTTTTGTTTTTCTGAAACAGAAAGGACTTAATTATACTCTAGGGCATTTGGACCTAAAATAATGCTAACATCTGAACTATAACTGATAGCTAGGCTGTACATTTTTAAAGTTAATAGATTTAAAAAGTATTATCATTAAAAAGTGTATATAACATTTGTAGACTAATTTTATCAAGGTAAACATTTCATAATTTAAAGAATGGGGAACATACAGATTTCAAATAATTCAATTCGTCAAATATATGTTATCCTGATAAAAACTCTTTCAACCAAATGAATGGGTTCGCAGTCATCCCTGTATGGGAAAGATATAATCCAGAAAAAATTATATTTACTTTCCTTAAAAAAAAACTAAAAAACTTTACACCCTACACACTAATTAAAATGGCTCACTATCACTGACATTATTTTCAACAAAGGGAGAAGGAGCTTAATCAATTAGGTTCATGTTTTCTCCTAAAATAGTACTAAAAGACAATCTTTCTTACAGAAAAAAAAACAAATAATTTAGTAAACTTAGATTATTAGCAAAGTGAAATTTCTTAATGTCTTGTTTTATCAAACTAGTTTCTTACTCCCCAGATAAGCTTTAATGGAAACGCACCAAACCCTTCTCACCTTGAGCCAGTCCAGACCCTGCGGACCCAGTGGTTTGCCCTGAGCGAAGCACAACAGAGACCGAGACATGTCAGCGCCGAGGTGGTTGAGGTGGGGCGGCACGGGGTACACTCTCCCTCGGAAATCCATGTTGTGCGGCAACCAGAATATCTTGTCTCTAAACTGTCAACAAACATAACTTCCATTCATCAACAATTGAGATGGGGCATAACTGGGCATGTTTAAAGCAAATAAAAGTAAAAGGTTGAAAAGAGAGAAATGTTTAAGACCAAGTGTTTATTGAAAAGCACAACAGTCATAAACACGCCGTCAAGTGATTTTTTTCTACCTCGTTTCTTGTTGCTGACATAACTGATGGGTCATAAACAGTTGCTATGGCTTACACAAACAAGTTTATTTTATCCTAATTAAAACTCCTTCAACCAAATAAATTGGCTACAACAATATTTTCCAATAACAGTTGAAATATAGTCTCCAAAGATCCATTTTTTTGTTTTTATAAATCAGTGCCACACACGGTAAAATTTGATTTTGTTTGTCTTTTTAGTAACTACAATACTCCCCATAGTGGAAATTAGGTTTGCTGTAGCGGGGGTATTTTAATTTATTAATTAAACCAGCCTATTGGGCCTAAAATATTTGGCAAACTAATAAATTAAATATTTTTTAAGAGGATTGCAGGCTTACCTTAATAGGAGAGAGTCGACCCTAGTACAAGAAACACTAAACTTAAGAATATTTTGGCCAACATAATGTACAACATCTCTCTGCCCAATTCAAACCTTCCTTTATTTAAAATGTTGTTACAGTAGTGACAACTGAGAACGAAATATTCTAATGTTTATGTATGTATAATGTTTTTGTTTTTTGTGCCATGGACTCTTTTTCACTCAGGTAAGCCTACCATCCTACAAAACAAAGCATTGTGCTCTTTGTTACATTCATAATAACACAAAATAGTTAAACAATATTGAATATTTGAATATTTACAGAAGCTAGACACTGTACAGGCGAGTTAAGACTCACGTGGTTGGCCAGAGATAGTTTATACAAGGCATCACACCACAGACTGTACATCTCTGACCGTTGCCTTCGCAGGGTGATGCGATGTCTGTACGCCTCATACCTCTCCTGTTTATTCATGTCTGCTGTGATCGGCTCTGCCACGGGGCACAGGTAAGACGGAGCAGGTATTTCCAGCTTGGCGGAGCCTCCATTGTTGAACACCTCGATCACAGTGTCCAACACCTTATAAACATTGACACAACTGAGCATATTTTAACCCAAATATGAATAAAGACAGAGAATGAATCATAGAGTGACATGTAGATTTGATTCTGACAAAGACCAGCTGTTCATTTAGCCAACACCTTCAAGGACAGCTGAGTCCGAATCAGCCAAAAAAGCGTCTGGCTTTTTTAAGCATATAACTGGCAACCTTTTGACTCTAAGATGCTTAATATCGGCTTTGAATGTAGAACATATCAGAACAATATCAGCTTCTTTGACAGTTCCTATGAGATACAATTTTTTTATGAAGCTATGTAATAATAGGGGGGATCAAAATTGTTAAGAGGAATTATTTGTTAAAGTTGGATGAGTAGGCTGGAAGTGTTGTAAAACAATAATTTACGGTTTTGCTTAAACCTACAGGTGTAGATGAATCTTGGTTTAAGGCCTCTATACTTAATGTAGGGGACAGTTTTGGGAGTTGCTTGTTGTATTGAAGAACAGAGTCCTGTTGGAAGAGATGATAAACCAAGAATTTTGGCGTTTGGTTTAGGAAAGGCAGTCTTTAAGATTTCAAAATTAGGATTTAGGGCCTAGATGATTTTTATAAATTGAGATTTTTACTTAGTCTATAATTCATAACATCTTGCTCGTTACTCAGCATTTTGGTGTATATTTTCCTTTTGTATTCATTGCATTAGATTTAACAAGATTCCTTAACAGAGTTTTGAGTTCTCCTCACCTACATCACCCCCGTAACTGTGGATTTTAAACCTCCACTGCAGTGTTTACACACATCATAACTTCATAACTGATCATGGGGTTGTAAAATAAACATTTCTGATACATCCCTGACCAAGGCTATCAAAATGACCAAATCGACCAAAGATATGGAACTGCAAAATCTCTAACATCGACAACAGTTTTGCTTCGACACAGAATATGTCTATGAACTGTTTACCGGTTTGTTAACCCTCCAAGGTATGGAGCCGAGCTGATTGAGAGAGTCCAGGGGGGGAAACAGCTGTTGTGCAGACGCCTCCTTCAGCCTCTGTCTTTGCTGCAGAGCTTGGCCCGGGAGTCTACAACATATGAAAAGATACTTTCAAAGTCAAAGTCAAAGTCATATGAATGGAGATAAGTGTATGATGAGTGTAATCTTGTACAAGTATCTTGTAACTATCTAAGTGTAAGTATCTTGTAAGTATCTTGCAGTATCTTGTAATCTTGTAACTGACTAAGACCGACATGTTCCTTAGACAGGACTGTTAATTAATAATACAGCCAATGGCAACTAAGGGGCCTACAGTTTATAAAGTGGAATCCGAACCACATTTTTGCATTGTTATTTACAAATTGGTCTAATTATCAGGATAGTACTGCGGATAGTCGTAGTACAACATAAACGCAGATTACTTGCCAACGTGTACACAGAAAATATTGAACTTGCTGCAAATTTCAAACCTTTGATTTAGAAAATATTCTTACAAAACCCCCAAGATATATAATTCTAACAAAATCACTGAAATACATCTGTAAAAGTACAAATTACAAACTTGTTATCTTTTATTTCCGCACCAACAACTTCTGTTTATTTATTGTTTTGCCACATAGTTTAATGTGACTTGTGTAAGACAGTCATGTTGTTGCTGTATCACCCAGATAGCAGTCCAACCCCTAAAATATTTCTAGACAACCAGGAAACTAATTAGTTTAAGAAACTTACCCAAAAATAAAGAGACTCTAAGAATTGATAACTATAGGCCTACAAGATGCAGGATATTGTGTATGACCTTGAATCAAAAGCGAACTGATTCGTACCTGATAATGTCAGTCTTGGCTGTAAGGTAACCTCCAAACTTGTGGTTTACCCACGGCAGTGGTGGTGACAACATCGGCACTTGAGTTATGTCAAACATTATGTGTTCCTCAGCAGCAGACCGAAACAGCTTAGAGATCACCGGGTGAGGTTTGATTTCTTCCACTTTCTTCACTCCTTGATGCCGATACACTCTGTAGAAGGCTGGTAACTTGTGCCTACAACATTTATAGAGTAAATGCCTACTTAGGCATATTCAATCATCAGGCATAACCCTAAAGCCTTGAGGCCATTAGGTAGGCAGGTTACTTGCATCTACTGTTCAAGTAACCTGACGCAGGTCACCCACCGACTAGCTACATGTAAACACGGATTAAGAATGTGCCTCCTAGGCAGCATATGCAGGCAATCGTTCACTGAGGATGGCATATTTGTATATATTAGCAATGCATTATCCTAGCAATCAATTTATTTAACGGTGCTCATTAAACCAGCATTTTCAGTTATCTTGCACTACTGATGTCCTGAACATGCTGGATTAGCCAGTATCTACTGTTAATCTAAAGGTTTTACCCTGAAAAATTATATGGGATACACGGCTGGAGTTGTAAGAATCGCATGCTTATTTGAATGAGAAAAAGTACATTCTGGCATTGGAAATAATAATTAGCACATGCTTAGAGTGTATATATTTAGCTGTCACTGAAAACTTCAACAACCAAGGTAGAATTTAATAGTTCCAAAATAAAATAAAAGTTTTAATGCTGACTCAAAAGATTTGTCATATGAGTGTTGCCAATTTGTGCATGTGCCCACAGTAAACTACTAAATTCAGACTGATGATCTTGACGACCAATCCAAATTTTGAAAATTAAAATATTCCAAGTGAAATTTAAAGAAAGAATAGTAGCAAACAACTGTTGCTGCCACACTGTGTCAACATTTTAGAGCAATTCTCTCATGACACAGTTATACTTATGATACTACTAGCTGTAACCCGCGGGCTTTGCCCCGTTTAACTTCTTAATTTTCAAGATTATCTCGTTCGCATGGCTCAATCACGTCCTGGTTGAAGTTTGTTCGTTACGCTCACTCACCTTTAGGTTGGAGCTCGTTCGCTACGCTCACTTGCCTTCAGGTTAGCTCGTTCGCTACGCTAACTCGCCTCCAGGTTGAAGTTCGTTCGCTACGCTCACTCACCTTTTGGTTGCAAATTAGCTGTTGTCATAAATGTAAAACAAATAATAGTGCTGCACCCTGTTGGTAATCCTTGTAACTGTAATGCTATGAACATCATAGAACAGAACCAACTTGTTTAATTGAAACAGCTGTTAAGATTCAATAATTCTATTTCTCATAAGGTTAACATGGGAAACTCCAGAGCCACTGGGGCGGAGCCCGAAAGGATTTTTGAAATAAGAATATGCCTATATGTTAATCGGGAATGTGAGCTATAATCATGCCAAATTTCAGCCCAATCCGACCAGTATTTTTCGCGGTCACTTGTCACAAACATACATCCATACATACATCCAAACTTTCTCATTTATAATATTAGTAGGACAACTCACAATAATTAGTTGGCCTATCAGTACCACAATAACCCATAATAACAATAATAACAATAACCATAATAACCCGGGCATGAAAATTCACTACCTTAAGAATTCTAGAGGTGAACCTAAATCAGTAAAATAGAGTGTCTACGGCCATCAGAATGCTGAAAATTACACATAAATTGATGTCTCAGAACCAACAAGTGGCTGGTTAAAGGTTTCTGCATTTAGTTAATCAATTTAACAGTTAATTTAAAAATTATATTTACTTTGACTGAGTAATACTCAAATAAATCGAGGGTAAATATGGTTTGAGGCATAAAGAAAGACAGGATTAATCACCATACAAATTATTCTCCTTATGTGCTATATCAAAGATAAGAGTTGTTTAATACTTAATACTTTTTAATGAAATGGCAACCATACAAAGTAGGTATTTTAAGCCAAGTATGAATGGAGATGAGTTTAGGACGAGTGGCGCGATCTTGTAGTCTTGTTAGTGACTAAGGCCGACATTCCTTAGACACAGCTGTTAATTAATAGCCCAAACAGCTAATGGCAACTAAGGGACCTACAGTTTATAGTGGAATCCGAACCACATTTTTGCCTTGGTATATACGAATTAGTCTAATTTTCAGGATAGTACTGCAGATAGTCGTAGTACGGTAATCACTCGTGTGGACGTTAATCCACAAGCCATTAGGCACAATGACTCAAATTTCAAATACAGCTTTAATATTGTTGAGTTTGTCAATGATCCAATTATTAATATTATGATAATTAATATAATGATTATTATTATTTCTACAGTATTGAGTACTAAAATCCAACCATAAATGGACACTTACTCTTTGTTGTTTTTGTTGAGAATATTGACATCAATTTTGACATCTCCCACAATGATGTTGTAAAGGAATTTTCCGATCCCCAGCAAGGCAGTATTAGGCCAAAAGCCATTGCCAATGGACTAGGACAAAACACTTCATTAGGCCAAAACTAAACTACAGTACTCTCATTTACAAAGCTGTGAGTGAAGTTTCAATCTACTATATATTTTTCACTAATATAAACTGTATACACAATTTTAAATTGTATAGGACAGAACCTAACAAATACTACATACACATGTTGATTATATAGGAAACAATCTCACAGAGGTATGTAAACTTACTATCGTGGGGCCTTTTTGATGTTCATGTACCAGTTGTAGCCACTCCTGTCGACCGTTCAAACTTCTGCCGTTCCTTGTTGAAGGGTCTAAATACCAATCGAGGTATTTGTCATACAGCAACTTTGTCTTATCAATGATCCCCTGGTTTTTCTTAAATTTGAACACGTATCTGAAACATAAGGGAGTTATTTGAAAATTGTAAATTCAAGATCTTGCTTAAGCTCTTCTTTTAAGTCTCCAACTTTTAATACTTTGCGTAACTAATTTTCTGTTAACACCTTAACTGCTCTACTTTCTTTACGGTAAACCCATCAAAACCATGATGCGTATTAAATAATTGGAAACAAAGACATCAATAATTTTTCAAAAAACCCTCAACATACCACTATTGTTGATTAATTTTAAGCATTGAAATAATTTTAAACCAGAGACTACGCAGTAGGTAGTTAGGAAAAAATCAATCGGGCGATTGAATTGGGTTGGGGGGGGGGGGGGGGGTTCATTAAGTTTGTAAGTGATCAACAGTGTTGAATTTAATTTTGAAGTAAAATCTTAAGAGAAGCTCCAGCAAAAAATAATAAATTAACATTGTGAATTAATCATAGTTATGAACACCTATTTAGTTGAGATGCCTAAAACTAAAGAAAGTCTCATTTAATTGTCTTTGTTACAACTTCTGTTAATAGTAAGCACTTTTTTTCTGCTTCAAATGTACTGACTTGATAGTTTTAACATAGTTTGTAGCATGTCCTCACCTATTTCTCACTTCTTCCCCCAGACCTCTGTACAGCATGTAAGTAGAGGGACTGAAGGTTTCTGATCCCTCTGCCAAACGGGTTATTTCCTAAAACAAATTGGTATACAATGTTTGAATGTTACAAAATCATCACCATAGGCTAAGAATTCAACTGATCTGCTTATTCATCACATCATAATATATAAAATTAAAACAAGTTCAAAATTTAACTCAAAATGTTTTTTAATCGGAAATGCATTTTACTCTTTTGAAGAGTTGTACGGTTTAAATGATGTGAATGCTGATCCTACATAACTGTCAATTTCACAACTGAACAATTCAATGCAATGTACTGAGTTAGATTAAGGAACTGTGACGCTATTTATTGTATTGCTGTACATGAAACAAATAAAGAAGTTTTGAATTGAATTGATGAAATCAAAATTGTTTCTATTGGGTAGTCTTTGGGTCTTAAACCCGTTGGAGTAACAAACACTACAGGCCTGCCACATGTGTGCGTAAATGCATTTTTTCAAACCTCTTCCTAAAAAAAATCTGTTCGGATGGTTGCCTGAGGAAAACTCACGCATTCGCAGTGCTAAGCATAGGCAGGCATGCAATCATAAGAAATCTCTAAGTGTTAACCTAGAGAGAGCTATTTGGCTCTTACAGCTGTTTCCTTTATGGTTACTTTATTAATTTTGCAGAAATAATGTGAGGTAATACAATTTTTAAATGCCAACAATTTTTTCTGACTTTAATTAGTACAAATGGGGGTCATATTTCAAGGTGTCTGATTGAAGTGGAATCTAAAGTATAGATTAGATGGATGTAATCTTAATGTGTACACATGGGAGCGAGCTGGTCAAGTGGTAGAGCATGGTAATTTGGTCCCAGGTTTACATTCTGCCAATCACCAATAGGCCTAGATTTTATCTAAGTAATAATGGCACGAACCTCTAGGCCTAGCCTGAGAAACGTGTAAAAAGATTCTGAACTAGAACCTAGGGCGATACGAGTATTAAGGTGGGGCAGAAAATTGTATAGCCTACATACATTGTTGATTTACTGATCTAATTTGATTAATAACTAGAAAAAAATTTATTGAAAACTTACATTCAACATTATCTCCACGTAGCTATCCCGATGTAGCACTTTCATGTAGGGAAGTAAACTGACGCTGTGTCGAGATCTCTTACCCATTTCCAAAACAGCAAAATCTCTGTCAAAACCTTGCCTCAGATCTTTCACCCATGATGTTCTCATCGTTTCTAGTTTTTCTCGCTGAAATAATGAATCAGTCTAAAAAGTTTGTAATAGAAACAAATATGCAAATGTTTACTTTGCTATGTTGTATTCTTAATGTTCCTGTGGCTTTTTGGTAAAATAAGTTTTGGTAATGTATTGATGTTTTCTATCTCCAAGGATGGCAGTGTAGGTAATACAAATTTATTTATTTATAGTTGTAAACAAACACCAATTCAAAAGTGAAACGGTCATTTAACATTTTATCAAATACAGTGCCAGTGACCAGTTTAAGAGGAAATTCATTAGTTTTTTTATGGTTCAAAACTGGCCCCAGCTGTCTTTGATTATTGGGCTTTTAATAAACAATTCTGACTAATGAAACAGCTGATCAGTAACAAAGATACATTGATCATCTCACTCTGCATTCAAATTTTTTAAATGGCATCGGTATCAAGAATCAATTTATCAGGTTTCAGTATCGGTATCGAGAATTCATAAATTTTGTATTGACACATTCTGTCAAAAAGGAAATAACAAAAACAGTACTTACATAAACCTTCAAGTTTTCTTCTGATTCAAGTCTTTTTTCAATGGATTTTACTTTAATTTTGTGGGCAAATTCATTGTTTAACTGTTCTTCTGCAAATGATTGTAAGTCCTCCTTGCTAAACATACCCTCCACTTGTGATTGAAGGTGTGGATTCTTCCCCTGAAACATAATAAGTATAATAGGTTACAAACATTGTTTAAAAAGGCCTTCTTATGCATGGGTTACCTGATAACAGAGTTATGCCCATGTTGTATCCTAATGGCTTTCCTGAATGTGTCCATGAAAGAAAGGCAGTGTATGTAATAGTCCTTATAGGTATGGAACTTTTTGCCATAGGCCCTATGGAAAATAAATTCTAATGAAAATGTCTGGTAATGCCCTCATAATATTAAACTTCTTAATCTAGATTGTCTATTTGTCAAATAACCTAAATGAATGGTTCAAACAAATATTATCCTCCAAATCAATAAATTTCCAACATTTGCACTAAAAGTAAAAAGTTTCTAAAGACATTAAATAGGATTATAATAAATAAAATGTGTGTTCCAGCATTATTCCACTTATACAGTTAACATTTACAAGACAGTAAATATAAAATATGTTACATCGATTTGACCAGTCACATCATTCATCATCAGGCACAATCAGAGACTGAAAAAATACAATTGGTGTCCTTGCTTGGATATGATTGGTGGCTGAAAGTTTCCTAAACGAACTCTGATAATTTCTGGTGGAATTAAAGTTGATTTGTTCATTTATAACTCAGTCTCTTTTCTTTTCACAATTAATTGTCTTTATAAGTATACAGTTCTACCCAAGCATTCATTACAATTGATTTTATAAATATCTTGCGCATAAGCAAGTCATCTTGGAATCTCAACTGACTACACTGTTCTTGGTTTTACTTGTGCTAAAACAAATTCCATGAAAACTGCGATAAAAAAGATTTCAGGTGTAAAATGTCTTAGCCTACCTGTAGATCATTGATGTCCTGAAGTAGCGCACACGAGTAGCAGATAGAGGGAGGAGGGACGACGGGTTTAAATCCAGGGTCCACTTCTTGAATGGCTTTCAATATTACTTCCCTCTGGTTTCCAAGGAAGGTGCAGTTTACAAAAATGTCATTTAACTGGTATCCCTGCAAAAAATATAACGGATTGGATAATAATCAGATAGCTTTATTGTCGTTGACGATTTTACGTATAACATTTGTTAAGATAATACAAAAAAAAATATATTTACAAAATCAAAACTAATAGGGGTGTTTAACTTCCCATAGCCACTAATGAGATTTAGACTCAGTGTTGCCAGGTGTACGATAATTATCGTATTTGTACGATTATTTTGCTCCTTCCCTATAAAAAATAATTTTGAAAAATTTAATTTTGACGTTGTGTACAATTTTTTGTCATAATGTACGATTATTTTTTGGGGGCTAGAAAATAAACTATTTCATATTGATTATTATACATTTAAACACGTTTCCCACTTTTAATATATGGAAAAACTGTAACATCACTTCGTTGCTGTTCGATCTGGCAACCTTGCAAAGGCATCAGCTGTGTTAGAGAGGGCCCATTGGCTACCAACTTAAGTGTTTATAGGAGAATTTTGAGAGAAGTTGGCCGCCATTTGTACTAGGGGTAGATTACGTTGTACCTTCAATTAATTATTGTACTCAGTACATTTTCAGTAGGGGAATGAAATAAAGCAATGAGCTGGTTGATTTTTCCAGTTGAGAACCAAAATACCATAATTTTACAGCGTTTCAATTTTTTTCTAGCAGAGATGCAGATTCCGTGTGTGTGTGATAGTGTGCTGCCTCCGGAAGAATTTATATTTTTCATTTTTCTAGCTCAGTGGTAGGCTGGTAGAGCAAAAACGGTGGGCAGCAGAGACAAATAGAGTAAAATTTCGGCCATTCAATCATCGACTTGCTTGTTTTACATTATAATAATTTATTATAAAAGAAAATTGTGTGTACGATAATTTTGCCCCAAAAACGATAATTTTGGACTGCTTGTACGATAATTTACGCCGGCGAATCTGGCAACACTGTTTAGACTTAACCCTGCTGATGTTACTACTAGAGAAATCACACTCGTGCAATTTATTTTTAAAAACACTTCTCAATTTATCAGATTATTATTATTTAATTTTATTTACTCTAAGATCTAGGTTTAAAAAATAGCAAATAAAATATTTCATCTCACCTTTTCTTGTAGCGCTTCTATGATTTCTGGCACATGCTCTCTGTATTTCTCTGATTTTGCGGCACACTCAAGTTTAATAGCATACATATTCAAAGTCGGCTTCAATCCACATTGTACGGATATGTTCCAAACCTCATTCAATTTGTTGAAGTAAGCCTGTTGGAGATCAAAACAAGTTCAAAAAATTTATTTTGCAAATTTATCACAAAAATTAATTTACTAATACGGAATTGTAGAAAGGAATTTGAGTTCGGCTAGCTTGCCTGAGCATATTAGTCAAGAGGGGTTGATGTGTGCAAAACATGTGTAAAGGAGAGAAGAATTTATTCCTGGGACACCCAAAAAGAAGAAAACCACTAGGTAGATCAAGAATTAGATGAAGGACAAAGTCCAAAAGGTCTTTAATTGACTAGGGACTAAACTTTAAACTGCAGAAGGTACAGCAGAATCTAAAGGCATTGTCGGAGGGCCAAACTCTCACTGAAGTTTCAATCCAAGGAGGTGATGAAGTAGGAGTGATTTTTTTGTATACATTGTAACTAGATTTAACTAAGAGTTTGTTATAGCTGATGCCAATTAGGATAACTAATTGCACCTATTATATATTCACTCAATTTTATGACTGGATATCATGAAATTTTTAGCGAGTTTATATCAAAAATTAATTAAAAGTAGGTCCTAACAACATTATGGATTACCAAAAACTCCTATTATTGGTGCGTTCTGCTAAACGTTGCTAACACAAACACAAATTTAGACTACTTTGGTCTCATTGATGCAGTTGTATTTATTTACCTTTGACGCAAACCCTTGCATCAAAACTTCAAAAATCCTTATGTCTGTGATTTTTGGGTGTTTCTGAGAAATCCGGCTGCGATGCTTGTAGTAATGGAGAGTGGCCAGACCTCGGGCTAAGTAGTTGCAGCTGACCTGAGAAAACATTTTAGTTTGCTAAAAAGAACACAATGTAAGAGGCATATTACTTTACAAAGGAGTGAAACAAAACTAGAGGGCAACAGACCGAAAGGATTCACTTTCCTTAAAAACCTTATTGCATGATATTGTTTGATTGCAAACGTTGTATTGTTTAACAAACACTCAACTAAAAAAAGGTTTGTGATTCCTTGTTTAAGTTTACTATTAGGCAATATCACTATCATTTGTGTGCATCTTAATTCAATAAATGTCGAACTCTTAGTGTAAATCATGACCTTAACTCAACCTCTTTTTAAAATACCCCAGCCGCGGCAAACCTGCAAACCGCATCGAATATCAATTTGTCTGATTGGATTGTACTATAAAATATTTTTATAAGCAAGACATATTTATTCCCCATTTAAATAACATTAGTATTTAACGAGTGCTTAGGTTTGCTGCTACGAGTAAGGTAAAAAGCGGTTTTTTTACCAAATGTTAATAGTATAGGATGAAATAAATTTAATGAATTTGCCAAATTTTATCAACACCGGTAATTTATAAACAAGTAGACTACAAATGTTTTCTTTTTCTCCATAACAATAACATGTAAATTAACATAGTACGCCTAAAGTTTTTTTGGAATTTTCTCCATTAGGCTACCTTTAACTGTACAACAGCACTTCAATATACAAAATTACTTATTTTTTTAAGCTCTACATGGTGGTTTCAATTAAAATTTGGCATTTCAGTGTTTTAAGGGATAAACAAATTTTTTTTAAATTTGGAAAATGTCAAAACCCCGATCGTATCACTCGATTTTCCTGGATTATTTAGGATACTTACACAAAGTTTCAAGTACGAGAGAAGAGTAGTATTAAATGCTTGCTCTCTTGCTTTTTTCTCGAGCAGTGAAAACTTCTCTTTGGCAAGTTTTTCTTTGGTAACAGCCAATGAAGGTTTTTTCCTGGAATATCAGGTGCTGTGTTAAATATTTGTGTATGTACTTTGAATTTTAACAGTTAGTTTTAAAAAGGTCACTATAAGGTAGCCTATGCAAGAAATTAGTATCAGGCAAAATGGCAGTACAAAATGTTCACAAGACAATGAATTTATTTGATATATACATCTTCAGAAGAAAGTATTAGAATCCATTACTTTTTCTGATTAGTAGACTGAGTTTCATGAGTTCTACGGATCGATGTCTGTCTGTATGCGTTTGTGTTTTAATCCAAAAAGCCATAGCCTAATAGAAATATTTTAATGGGATGACGTAATTTCATTGGTGATACACTTCTTCTCATATCATGACATAACATAAAGTGTAGCAAATTTATGTGGATTGAAAAGAAGGCTACGGGTTTTTATCAAATAGCCATTGACACCTTTTTTAACGACTATTTGTGTTATATTTGCTGACTGACAAGCTGCTGTAATGTACTCTAATAAAATAAAATAATAATATGCTAGGCCTTAAATCAAACCTTTTTTCTTGCTTGAGAGTTGACGACAGGATGCAGTTTTCAGGCGTATCAGATCCTATGTTCTCCAGATCCTCGTTATGAAGCTCGTGATCATATTCTTCTGCGAGGTCTTGTGTAACAAAGTTCGATGGAGGTACAGAGAGGCTACCAACTTCTATGGGATCATTAAAAGAATCAAGGTGTTCATGCAATTCCTTCTCTAATTCCTTCACAACAACATCGTTTTTTTTATGAACATGTTTGGTAATTGTTGATTGATTTTTTGGCAAGTCATCTTTTGAGGGATATTTTTGACAGTCATCTCTTTTTTGGGTTATAACAGTTCCTGCCGTAGGAACTTCAGGAGCTTTCATGGATACACTTAAACTGGAATTCAAATTTTCATCAGATGAATTAATTATCGATCCAAGTGGGATACTACAAATAGGCATTGCATTGTTGCCTTTGTCATTTGCTTGATCTTTGAGTACCGGTAGATGTTTATTTTTTATTTTGTGCAAATGGTCCAACTCAATACCTGGACTTTTTGCAATTCTTGAAACATCACCGGGTTTTAGTTTTCTTACGGATGCTCTGGTTTCACTGACAACAGCTTTTGAACAATCGCCATAAACTGAAAATAATAATAAAAGTGTAAATTAAAGAGGATGAAAATCATGCATAAATTGCACAGCTAATTGAAATAAATCTAACAAATCTTTATCTTTATGTCAGAAGATAAAAATATGTTAAAGCAGGTTTTATATTAGAAGCATAGGCATGCGTTTCCCGAATGACAACCAATGAGCTAGCAAATTTATGACCTATTTTTAAGACAAATAATATGTCAAATTTTTGACTAACCTTCTAAAAGTTCTGTAAAATAACGTTTATTTTTTTGGAAACGTTTCCTCTTGACCCTTTCTTTGTTGCATCTTAAATCAGCGTCAGTATTTTGGTACCTTGCAAACTGAGTATTTGTTGTTTTACCTATGAAAGTACAAATGATCAAAATGTTTGGTTGTATGCACGGTAAAGTGAACCATGAACGTACATATGCAAACACAAACAATGAAGGGAAAATCCAAAACTTTTTACCAATACCGAGCTCCCAGCTTAGGGCCTAATTGAGATGATAGGAGCTTCCTATACTTGTTGTAGCCTATTTGTTTAATCAGCAAACTCCACATTAAAAATAATGCAGCTGAACTGTAAGTCAAAGAAGCAGACAAGGAAAGTGTAAGTTATATAGCCTATAACAAACCATAGGCCTATCTTAACCTAGGCTACAGATGAATTACGGATTATATCCATCATTCAAGTTTATGTGAAGAATGGAGTAGGCATTGCTAGTTGTTTGGATAACCGGTAGTCTTGTTTAAGTTTGATATTGAGTTAGGCTGATGTCATTTTAGTAAGGTGAATGGTCCAAATTCTTAACATTAACTGATCTACGCTAATTGATATTAGCGTAGCCCAATTAAGAAACTGTACCCCTAATAGCTGGTGTACTTGAATTTATCAATAGTTTATTCATACTGTAGGCTTACTTGGGAGATAGGATGTAATAACATCAAAGATTGTAGACAATAAATAAATTAAATAAAACGTTTACAGTCTTAGCCAATGGTTAAAATTGGAACTCAAGAATACAGTCTTTACCAGGAGCCTTACCAGTCCATAAAAGACACGAATAACTATGTGACAAATATGTAACAATGAAAAATATGATTTTTCTCATATAGTGCATGCTCTCTACTTACATTGAAGGTTATGGGTTGCCGTCACATCGTTGATTCTACAAAAAGCACACAATTTCGTGGAAATCGTTTGGGGTCGAGAAATTCGGAAACTAGGAAACTTCACAATACGATACATTTAATTATATTTTAAGACCGATTTATATTAAAACAAAGACAAAGTCTGGTCAAAAATATTTAGGTTACATTATCACTATACTGCTTACTGCTAACAGCAAACAGCAAACAGCGAGCGAGAGCGAATAGCGGGTAGCGGACAGCAGTCAAGATGTATGGAGTAAAAGAGGTGGGCCAGACAGAGCGGACTGCACGTGAAGACGTCACTGAAGTCCCGGCTGCCAAGATGTAGTACTTTCTTTTACTCCATACATCTTGAGTTGTCACGACGATTGTAAGATCAAGGCAGAAGAAAAATACGAAGTGACTATTCGCACGTCAAGATGACGTCACAACCCATTCCCGTTGCAGTTCTTGTATTACAAAATAATGACAAGGGAACAGTTACATAACATTTTTCTAGAAAGAAGCCATTTTGAATTACTTAATACTTAGGCCTACTCTCCTAAATTTCGGTAAAGATGGAGTTTAATTTAAAATTTTGCTATTTTGAAGCGTTAAAAGAATTGATTTCAAAAAAGAAAAAGACGAGCATATTCAGTTAAGAATTGAACGTTCTATAACAGTTGATGGAGCGAAAGAGAAGTGGCTATGATTTTTACACGTGGCTAGGATGTTTTTGTAAAATCAAATTTTTTGCCACATTACTATTATCCAAAACTATCTTCACTGCTTCCAATTTTTATTGTTAACTTATCGTCTTTCCTTGTCTATTTTGTTATTTTTGTTATTGTTATTCAAGATTGTTATTATATAGTATCTATTTACTTGTTACTTGTTAATTTTTGTTCATTAATCATGTTCTTGCTGTTACCATTCACTGTTGCATGTATTTTGCCATCTTTCAATATTCAAATCAAATCAAATCAAATCATGTTTATTAGCACATAAACGTACAGAGGTTTTAGATAAATGCACAGGTGCTTCGTCATTCTTCTTATAGTCTAATATTCTAATATTATATAATGTCCTTTTTTACAATGTATTTATTAATAATAAATAAAATAGTTTTTAATATTTGAGGAACTCTTTAAATAGACTAGTCAAAAGGTTTAATAAAACAGATAACGTCAAGCTTAAAACTAAATAACAAGATTTATAGAATTTAATTATAAATAAAACATAAAAAATGTACAAAACATGTAATTTTAGTCAATAACGAGGTCTTCATTAAAATTTCACAACAAAAACGATATATATAAAATATGTAACATTTAAAAATCAACAAGATTAACATGAAGAGGGAACTTTTTACCCTATAAAATATTATGGAAGTAACAGGACCTGCTTATAACATTTGAGAGTCATTTAGAAAATCGTCAACTTTATAATAGGCCTTTCTGATCAAAATACTCTTAATGTTATCTGCAAATTGTGCTGGACTCATTGCTGTGTTTTTTAAGTGATTTGGAAGTTTATTGAACAATTTAATTCCCATGTAATGAATACTTCTTTCTAAAGATGTTGTAGAATGATGAGGGTATATAAGCAAATTCTGGTTTCTAGTATTGTAATTGTGGCTATTTTTTTCTATAGAGTACCAATTTAAATTATTTTTTACATGACACAGAACCTCAAAAATGTAGATACATGGTACTGTAAGTATTTTTAAACTTTTAAATACTTCTTTACATGAGCTTCCAGGCTGTTTGAGGGTCATGGCTCTTAGGCATTTCTTTTGTACTTTCAATACATTTTTTATTAAATTTGTTGCGCCCCATAATGTTATTCCATATTTCACTAGCGGGTAAAAATAGCCATAGTACAAAATAAGTTTTGTTTCCATGCTGATACAGTGTGTAAGGCAACTCATATTAAAACAAATGCTATTTAATCTCTTACATAATGGTACAATATGTTCATGCCACTTCAGATTTTCATCACATATTACCCCTAATAATTTCACAGACTTCTGATTCTTCAAATCATCATTGCCAACTGTAACCTTTATTTCACCCTCTCTATATTGCATACTTCTGAAGTGAATTATATTTGTCTTGTCTGCATTCAGCAACAGTCCATTTATTTTAAACCAATTTTCTAATTCTTTTATTATTGTCTCTGCTGTAAATTTAATTTTTTCTGTGCTATTATGTCTAATTAATGCTGTAGTATCATCTGCAAACATTACTATATCTGTCTTTATATTCATTGGAAGATCATTAACATATATTACAAACAAAGCTGGGCCTAAAATTGATCCTTGAGGGACTCCTGAATTTACAGTACAATATTTTGATTCATACGTCATGTTATCTATACTTAATGATGTTTTTTGTATTCTTTTAGTTAAATATGATCTAAACCATTTCAGACTGTACCCTCTGATTCCATGTACCTCTAGCTTTTTTAACAGAACATCATGGTCTACACAATCAAAAGCCTTTGACAGGTCACAACAAATTGCTGCAGTGGTCTGTGACCTGTCCCATGCCCTGTAAATATTGTCAGTTAAAGCCCCCTGCAGACGGGGACAGTAGTGGCGTCCAGTACTGGCGTCCACAAGTGGCGGCCACTGTACTGTCAAAGAGATGAGTGCTGAGTTGGTGGAATGAGATTTTCTAAAACCATGTTGACTTTTGGTTATTAATTTATTTTTCTCTAGATATTCCTGTAATTGAACATTTACAGCTTTCTCAAATATTTTTGAAAAGACAGGTAACAATGAGACTGGACGATAGTTTTCAATCAAGTTTTTATCCCCTTTCTTATAAATTGGCCTAACAATTGATATTTTTAGTTTTGATGGAAATTCACCTGTAAACAGTGACTGATTAATTAATGTGCAGATTGGCATAGCTATATAATCTTTACACTCTTTGATTAAGGTGACAGGAATCTCGTCCCAACCAGTAGATTTTTTATTTGGTAGTGATTGTATGATCTTTAAAATTTCATGAACATTTACTTCTCTGAATTCAAAAAACAAACTTTCTGATTCAGTCAGTATGTTTGTCAGCATGTCAGTATTCTATAAATAGAAATACTGACAAGATCTATCAAAAAGAAACAATAAGTTTTTTTGTGATATAACCCAGTTTTAATCAAGTGTGTAGACCCAAGTTTAAACCGTTTTGTAGAGCTTAAAAAAAATAATTTAGTATATTAAAGCACTGTTGTATGCCTAATTGTCACAGATAAAATTAAAAAATAGTGTAATTTAAAATTCCTATGTTATTCTTATGGAGACAATGAAAACTGTTGTAGTTTACTTGTTTATGGATATATATTGACAAAATTTGGCAAATTTATTTATTTCATCCTATACTATTGACGTATGGTCAAAAACACTTTTTACCTTCCCCGTATCAGCAAACTTAAGCACTTGTTAAATCTAATGTTATTTAAATTGGGAATAAATATGTCTTATTATGGATCGAGAGTTTTAGTAAAAATGTAATCATGACAAGTTGAAATTCGCTTAGTCTACAGGTTTGCTAATGCTGTGGCGGGGGTATTTTTTTCATTTTAACGTTTCAGTGTAACTGGTATTTTTGGTAAATAAATAAGACTATGCATGTGGGTTAACTGATGTGCAGAAGTCATGTTGCATTGAAGACGGCACCCCGCATTGAGCCCGAACATTTTTGAAAATTTTATGTTCAATATTAAATTTAATTTTAACGAGCTCCAGGATTTTAATTTAATTTTGTCCATCGTAGCAGGATAACTTAGAACACTAAATTTAAAATTAATGTAATGAAATGTTTGACAATTGATTTGAAGTTGATTATTTTGAACTTTGATTAGAAAATAGTATGGTCGCCAGTTCAAAGTCAAGAATTTAAGTCTGTCATGACCGTTATGATATTTTTATGGAGACATTTTAGTGTAAATCCAATTAGGCAAAAGGAAATTCACTTAGTCTGCAGGTTTGCTGTGGTGGGGGTATTTATAGTTAACCATTATCATAAACTAACATAATACAAAAAACCATTATTATTAAGCTAATTAAATAGTTCCACCAGTTTAACCGTAGATAAAAATGTGGTTCAACCCTAGATAAAGATGTGTGACACACATAGTACATAGTATACATACTATTCTGTATAATCAATGAGTATAATAGGCAAGGGAAATCTTACTTTTAAACCACTTATTTGACATCACTGTACTGTAAACAACAAACAGGATTTGGATTGGAATGTTGTGTTGCTGTGTTTGATTTGTTTTGTTATGTTGGGTTAAGTGGCTTTCATTTCATTGTTTTGTTTTGTATTTTGTATTTGTAATGTAGCCTATTGAAAATATTGAAATAGCAGGATGTAGGGGTAAAATAGGCGTTTTAATTTTGTTTTTTTATGAAAGTTTGGGAGAAAAATTGATGGAGGTTAGTGTAATTATGTACGGTAGGGTACTTGTTATGATACTACATGATGAGTTTCAAAATCAATGTAAGTTTACACAATTATACAAGTAGCCTACATTTTTTTCCTAAGTTAGGCTATTATGGTCAATGGATTTTTGATCTCTTTATTCATTCTAGTTAAACATAAGTTATCGTCACAGTGATTCGATTATGTATTGATTTGGCGATTAAACTTAGGCCACATATTTCAGTTACGATTCCTCAAGATGGGATAACGAATGGTTTCCATGACCGAATAAGTTATCAATCAGTTATTTTTAGCGACAATCCGTTATTTTTAGTTGAAAGAATCACCGAATCAATTTTAGTCATTAGGCCTACCTATTCACTGTCCCTTCTGTATATTAAACTCCATTTACTATAGTTCGACATTTCGATAGCCCTCCGAGTGTCCATAGTTTAGGCCTTAATGTCCGCCTATTTTTGGCGCATTTGCAAGGTTTTATTAAAACGGATCTGAAAAGCTTAAAACAATGTTAATTCTACTGTTCTATATACCATTTTGTTTGGAAAATCATGGGCTTCAATATCATACATAAAACCTAAGGAATATTTGTTTCAAAAAAATTTTTTTAGGTACCGGTAGGCTTAAAAATAAAAATTATTTTGGAAAAATTGAAAAAAAAAAATAAGTTTGCGCTCAATGAAATTGTATAAATTATAGGCCTATAAATATTTGAAAATAGCCACTTTGTTCTAAATTTTATGAGGATTACAAA